CGTTTTCCTATGGCTTTCGGAATCCTCTTGTTTAAAATCATGCCATTGTAGAGGCTGAAGAATTTTCTACAGGAATTGTCTTTATCCTCTGCTAACATCAACCACGGAATTCTAGGCAGGTCACTGTTGAAATTGTCCTTGGTGGCAGCACATCGCCAAGATTTGCAGACGGCCGCAAAATTAAGGTAGTCCTCGATCAAATTTATACGCTTAACTATTAGAACCAGCAGATCATATTGAAGCTCAGACCAATTCGACATCCTTGTGCTTAATATCGGGAATCCTCCAAAGTTTTTCTGTTTTGGTTGAAAAATCCACAAACCCTATATATAATTGAGAGAGATATCCCTATTATGGTTGGATTCTGAGGACAGAAACCCACTTCAAAGAGTAACAGGAATCTAGCCTGAAACTTTCCCAAAGTAATTATCGGATTATATTTATTCTGCGTTCTACTTTTTTATTATATTTGTCCTTACCATTCAATTTTAAGTTCATATTTACCCATTGAATTGTTAAATTCCACATCACCACTTTTGTTACACTAAGGGCTCCTACATGAATATAATCATCTCTTAATTTTAATTATTATACTTCACCCGGTGAACTCGATTTTGTCTCTTGAATCTTTTCTTCTTCGTTGCAGGAAGCAACCTTCCTCTCCCCGAGGATCTCTTCCTTAAGCAAATCCAATGTAGATCAAACTACAAAATTCATTTTTTTTATTTGCACCTTTATCAAACAAAGATTACTCTTTACACTCCTAAAATACTCAAGTTAAAGCAGATAACAAGATCCAAAAATATGCATTTTGGTTATGAAATTATACAAATTCAAGCAAGAAGAGTGAATTCAACTCATTTGATGCTTGTTTAGACGGAAATGTTGTTCTAACGAAGTTTGGTATCTTCTTCGAATTGAAAAAATTATTTTTAACTTGGATTTCACCATAGTTGTAAGAGGAGTGTTATATTGTGAGCTGAGTCCCAATTTTATAACCACTTTACATGGAAATTGATTAGAAAAAGCATATAGTGATTCGAATTTGTACACAAACAACAATACTCTCATTTAAAAACATGATGAAACTGGCAATCTCACTCTTCATCCACAAAATCTTCTACTGAGCTTCCATAGATTACGTATTCTTATCATATAATTTTTGATTTCTTTCAACAAAATCCACAATCCCATCCCCAATTATTTTTTTTTTAAAATGTCAGCCCCTTTTTCAAAAGTTCTCTTATTGAAAAACTTGGTTCTGAAATTAAAGGTATCGATAAAGTTTATTACTCAAAACATGACTTTTAAGAGGAAGATAAAATTCATAGACACCATAGATGAATGATACCATTTGTTCTAAGAAAATCAATCTAAAAAGAAGTTGTATTTGATATTTGAGATTGCAAGGAATGCTGAAAAGCCAAATAACAACAATAAGTCTTATGTGAGCCAGTTTCTCAACATCAGCTTCAAGCATCATACATAAATTAGGATAGACGGTAGAGCATGAGCATCAGATGACTTGTTCTCTCTTTATTTCCCTCTTTTCTGCTAACCAATTTCAGTTCCGAACTTATAATAAATCTAAACATATATAACTTACGGTGCTCAACAAGAGAAAAGGGTTTTGCATAAAAATAAATTATGAAACATTCTCCAAATACAAATATATAATATAAAATAAAAAAGGAAGCAATACGGATCAATACAGGGTTGGAGTGACCCAAATTGGTGGACAAACACGACTGAGAGAAACACCGTTGTAGTGAGGCTCGAAGCTGCCATTTGCTATGTTATAAACACCCATATCCCTGCCACCCCCTTCTTCATAGAAGAGGTATGATTCCACAAAATCATCAGTATAATAAATATGATTGGGCTTGACTCCTGGAAATTGAGAAGCTTGTACTGAGATAGATGCATTAGCACCCAAAAAAAGAGCTCTGTCCCCTACTTGCTTGGTTTCCCTCAATTCCCCAGCGGCTAAATCGACCTCAAAAACTCCAAAATTTGTTGTCCCATAAGTTTCTGTACCATCATTGGGATATATTGGTGTTAATGAAATCCTCCTGCTGCTATCTTCTCTGATGGGCGGCCTACTTTTTACACCGTATCGCACAACTACAAATAATGATCCAATTGATTCTAGGATATAGAACTCGTCTCCCATGTGATGGGGTGGTAAGATGGCTACTATTTGAGTGTGAATAGGACTAGAACCAGTAACATCATAGACTAACACACGGCCATTCCAATCAACTGCATAAAAATTTTCAGTATAATAGACCAGATCACGATGCATATGTTTATAGGGAGAGTTTATGTTGTCAATCCTTGTCCATCTCAAATCTCCTGGCCTCCAAAAACTGAAGAATTTCCTATTTCCGTCAATCACAGCGAGAATGTAGCTCGATGTATGAGAAGGACTAGCCGATAAAACTGCCTTGTGAAAAAAAGTCCATGGATAGCCTACCTCATGGTCTTCATAATTTTTGGTGGTATTTGGATGGGGCAACTCGATCTCAACACCCGAGAAGGGATGTAGCAGACTTGTTTCATTCTCATCTTTCCCGGTTGTGATTAGCCATCCCATAG